GTTCTGTGTCTTCTTTAGCAGCCCAAGTTGGTGAGTGAGGCTTTAGTCACTCGCTGTCATGCAGGGAGTGACCAGGCTCTCACTTTTTCTCTGCACCATCCCAGGGATGAGATTATAAAGGGTAGGCCTGTGTGAGTGTGTAGGTGTATGTGTCATGGATTCCCATGCCCCCTGGCCAGCCCCGGTTCCTCTTCCCTGCTGTTTATTATGTCTTCCGAGTGTGTGCAGAAGGTCCTGGCCCATTCCCATAGTGACTGGGCAGACCTTCTCATCTTGTCGTCCTTCCCTGAACTTTCCTAAGCAGAGACAGAGTGCTTGAGAACAGTGGGTGCCTGCTTTGGGAGACTCTGCCCTCTTTGAATAGATGGTGGTGAAGAGACCCTGTCTTGCATTCTGGAACATGACCTTTAGGAAAACTAATAGTTGTGAATTTTTTAAGATTCATTTGGGAGGTAACAGAGAAGGGCAGAAGGTAACAGTGGCCCCAGGATGGGCTGGCTTCTGGCTTCTTGGATCCGGAATGATCCTCTACCCCTTGTTACTTGCTTATTAGCATTTGGATGGAGAAGCACTGCAGGAATAATTTGATGATTGATTGGTTGGTTGATGGAAGGACTTTCAGGGTCTGCAAAAGTACTTATGTAATAAATTGATCAAGAATTGAGCAGGTCTAGATGTTTCGGTTGTCTATTACTATGTAATCGATCACCTCCAAATTTATTGACTTACCATAGGATAATTTATTTTTGCTAATGTGTCTATGGGTTGGCCCAGTGGTTCTTTAACTGGTTTTACTTAAATTCCCTCGCAGTCTCATCCAGGTGGAGGGTCAGCAGAGCAAAACATCCCTGATGGCCTCTCACATGTCAGGCAGTTGGTGCTGGCTATGGTTAAACTGCTTCTCTTGTCTGTGTCCTCTCTTCTCCAGGAGGCTAGACCAGTTTCCTTACATGGTGGCCTCAGGGCAGCTTCCAAAGAAGTGACAGGGGAAGCTGCAAATCCTCTGAAGGTCTCTCTTCATCACTGTGACATTCCTGGCCAAAGCCAGTCATGGTCCGTATAAATGGGTCTATAAAAAGGCACCGCTTTGGTTGTTTTCATCACTGTGACCAAAAGACCCGGGGAGGAAAGGTTTATTTGGTACTTGCAGTTTCAGAGTTCTCAGTTCACAAACAGCAAACTCCATAGCTCTGGACCCTACGTGAGGCAGCATTTCATGGAGGAAGGCAATAGGGAAGCAGAGAGAGCTGTGCTCACCAGGGACAAAATATAAACCCCAAAGGCACGTCCCCATTGACCTACCTTCTCTGGCTACTCCCCACCTGCCTGCAGGTACCACCCAGTTAATCCCTATCAGTGGATTAATGCACTGAGTAGGTTAAAGCTCTCATAACCCAATCATTTCACCAAATTTTTCTTTCATTGTTGCACACATGAGATTTTGGGGACACCTATGTCTGAATCATAACAGGCATGGAGAGGGGGAGGTACAGTCACTGAAGACTGTTTTGTAACAATCTACTACATATACTGAGTAAAAGAAAAATGTAGGTTAGATTAAACATCAGATTAGCCTATGGCTATGAACGATGTCATTGCAAGAGGTGAAGGATGTAGCCAAACTGGAGTCCCCATTCTGCCACCTCCTAGTTGTGTGGTCTTGATCAAATTCCTGCATCTTTCCCTCAGCGGAGGAGCGTGACATGGATTAATAGAAGCAGAGCGCCCAGTATCAAGTCTGGCTCATGGTAAATGTTAGCTGCTGGTTTTCATTTTATAGTTCTGTACTGGCCGGCAAGTTACCAATTGGGTTTTAAATTTTCTACTTCGGAGGCATAGAGAAAAATACTCAGGTACAAGATTTGTAGTGTGCTTAAGTTGAGAAGATATGGTCAATTCAGAAGAATGCAGCATAATTGAGGTAATCTGAAAAGTACTGACCTGGGAAAGCTCACTGTGAAAATGAATGTATTTTCTTCCTATGGCAAGTGGTTAGAGGCAATGCCACCTCGAGGTTAGCAAGGTGGGCTTCACTGTCCTCCTTGACTGGATTCCCAGCACGCTGCTTTTTCTCTCCTGCAGAATGAATTTGGGAAAATGCATGATCTCTAAAATTCATCTTCCTTGTTTCCCAAGTGGGCATCATAATATAGTCCCCACCTCAGGCGGGCCAAGAGATTAGGAAGTAAAACCTTTAGCCTATTGCCTGGCACATTTTACTCAGTGAATATTAGCTTTTAATGTTATTCGTTGTAAAGGTGACTTTAAAGGGGAGTTTTTCTTTATGGAAGACACATGGCATACTCTTCACAAATGGTTGGGGCTATTATGATGAACCACCCTTGTCTTCTTCTAAGAGGGCACCTGGACATGCAGGGACTGTAATAAATAAATAAATAAATGATGAGTAACAGGATAATAAAGTAATAAGCCCTGTGTTTAGTCTTCTCCTTAATTCCATGCTACTCTCCATTTTTCTAGATTACTGAGTTTTATCATTTATGATTTTATTTTCTGTAGAACTTTCCAGAAGCTGACTATATACATTTCTGAACAGCCTTCAAAGACCTCCAGAAATCCATCCACAGGGCCCACACCACTGGTGGCACCTCTTCCTACCTGGCCCCTGCCCACATTGCCACAGGCTCCAGGACCCCCAGTGGTGTGAAGTCAGGTTCATTACTCATGCTGTCCCCGCAGCGGTGGGGGAGGGAGTTCCCTCCTCCTCTCCCGGGGTCTCCCTGTGTCTGATTTATGGCTCAGATGGTTGGCCTGGAGGGCCTTAATTTAAAGCCTCTGTCAGAGGTTGTTGTAGGAACGTGGTGCCAGCAAAAAGCTGTTTTCCTCTGCCTGTGCTTCACTGTTGCCTCTTTCATGGCATGAAATATGAGGCAGGAAAGTAAGGCTACCACATTGGGGTGGAGGGAGCTATTGCAAACCTCTTGTGAAGTTGCCCGGATGCCTTCCCAGCCAGAGGCTGAAGTCAGAGTGCCGGGTCCATGTGCCAGGTTTCCCCAGGCCCCCTTTCCCCACTCTGCTTTGGTCTCTTTCCTACGCTGCCTCCAGGTGCTGCTCTGGTGGTGGTTATGACTGGGGCAGAATCCCTAGTCTGATGTTCATCAGTTGCTTTAACCTATACCTTGTCCTGCCAAGGAGAGTCTCTTTAGCTTTGCTGAGTTTGCATTATGGAAACAATAGTTATTTTTTCACTTTCCAAGTTAAAAATTACATTCCTATAGTGAATAGACTCTCTCTATATAAAATATAATCTCCATCCCTGCCTCTTTTCCATCAGATATTTTTAGGCCCCAAGGAAATATTCCCCTTACCTGCAGAGAGAATTACTAGACTATTGTTACTCATCAGCATATTCCCTGCCAGTGAGACAGAGGACAGTTTCCCATCACCTAACTTCCTTGCTTGGCGATGGTGGGTGGGGTACCAGGCATTGAACTCAGGGGCACTCAACCACTGAGCCACGTCCCCAGCCCTATTTTGTATTTTATTTAGAGACAGGGTCTCATGGAGTTTGCTGAGGCTGGCTTTAACTTGTGATCCTCCTGCCTCAGCCTCCTGAGTAGTGGGATTACAGGTATGTGCCACTGCGCCCGGTCTTTAAGTTAGTGTTGAGTTTTGTGTCTCTTGTACACCTGTAATGTATTCGTGCTTCAATGGAACCATTATTTTGTCATCAATGAAACCATTATTTTGAGGGCTTTGGCTTCTTTGGGGTAACATCTCTGTTATTTTGATCATTTGCTCTGTGTTTAGTGAGTGACATGGCTCTCTAGGTTCCTGATGCCAAGTTCCTGCTCTAAGAATGGCATTTTGTAAGCATACAAAAATGACAAGGGATGCCCAAGACTATGTTTCTATCAACTTTTTCAAGAGGAAAGATAGAATCATGAAAAAAAGTAATCATAAAATCAGGAAATAAATAGGTAAATGAGAAAAATTAGGTTTTAGTACAAGTTAATAATGCAATCCCCGTTTGTTAAAAAAAAATGTAGATGTGTGTGTTGTGCGTCTGAATTTGCTTATATTTGTGTACACAACAGAAGATCTAAGGAAGGTGGGGAGTTAACTTTCATGAGGTTATGGGGTTGTTTAATTTTTTTTCTTTTTAAAGTTTTCTTTATAATAAGGAAAGAAACCCAACACTATTTATTTTTAAAAATTAAAACAGAAACAAAAGTAAACCCCCAAAACACCAAGGGAAGCCAGGCTTGTGGACGGGGTAGAATTTTCAGGTAAGGGCCGTGCAGGTGGGAGGCTCTGTTCCTGATACAGGGAACTTACACTGTCTCTGCCTGGGCCTGACTTGAGGGAAACCCAGTTTGGATGTTCAGACATGTTGACTTGTTCCTGATACCGCTGAGCACAGACACCTTCCTGCCAGGCCTGTTTTCTCTCCCACTGGACAGAAGCAGTATTGAGTAATCAATGCAAGCCTACTTTGTCCAGCCTTTTGGAGGATGGGAAGGAGCTGAACTTGGCTCTTGTGTCTCTTCCTCTTGGGTGGTGAGCATCATTTTGCATGAGGCTGGTGGCTCGTGCTCTGTCCTGCTGTGTCTGGGCTTGGCGTCTACCTACACATGACATCCCTGCATCGGCTCGCAGGGCAGCCTGGCTCCTGCCCCTGCCTCTCCTGGGGCCAGTAGACAGTACATCAGCAGGAACCACTCTGAAAACAGTGAGGAAATTCCAGCCCCAGGGCAAACTGCTGCTCTGAGAAGGAGCAGCCTGGAGTCCATGGCTGGCTCGGAGCTGCAGCAGACGGCGTTTGGTGGGAATGCTGATGAACCCTGGCAGTGGAGATGACCACAGGGCTGTTCTGGGCTTCCCAGCCCATCACCACAGGCTGGCATGGGAGGCATAGCTGTCTGTGATGCTTCAGTATCTGGACCATCTGTTCCTTGGGGCCAGGCCTGGTCATTGCTCTTGACTTTGGATGCCAGGCACAGAAGTTATAGTCACAGAGGCTGCTTCTTCTCTTACAGAGAAAGTCCACTCATGTGACCAGGAGAGACAGAGCGCCCTGGAAGAGGCCCGGCAGAATCCCCGTGAGGGCATTGTCATCCCTGAATGTGCCCCTGGGGGGCTCTATAAGCCAGTGCAGTGCCACCAGTCCACTGGTTACTGCTGGTGTGTGCTGGTGGACACGGGGCGCCCGCTGCCTGGGACCTCCACACGGTAAGCCTGCCCACGGCCTGTGTTGCACCTGAATTGGGTCCTGGGATAAGAGGACCAGCTTCCGGTTCTGTTAGCATTTCTCAGCTTGACTGCCCTAGTTAGGTGGGAGTCAGGTCACTAGGAGACCCGCTTTTCTATTCATGAGCAGATGAGATTCCGTTAGAAAGATCCTAGGACCTAGATTCTGGTCACAAAGCTGACTCTTTCTATCTGTGGAACTTGGAAGAGTATTAACCTATGTGGTCTCAGTTGCCTGATGAGATCAGTATGTTGTCAGAGTTAACAGGTTCTATGGATCAAAAAAGATCCTGTGTGCAGATCTAGGGTGGCCCTGTTATTATGCTTGAGTGGCTAAAAAGACTTATCTGAAATGTGTCAGTGGGAACATTTATGCTGGATGGCCTTGTAGGGGCTAGACAGTGCAGGAGACATTTTGCTGCCAACCCTGAGGGCTCTAGGCTTGGTGACAACACAGATCTTTGCTGGGCAGTAGTGGCTGAAGTATTCTCTGTTGCCAACCTCTCCAAAC